TGATTCGATGCAATCCTTCAGCTTGAATCATGCAAAAACTCATTTTACCATCGTCATAAAATTATTATAAAAATATTCACAATGAGACATATTAGTTGTGTACACCCTTGTGATACACAAGTGATGGTTCTAGAGTGTGGGTGTTATGCTTCACTGATTTAGCATTCATTGGAGTATATGGAGAATCAAAGTTGTTTGGAATGCTTCGTCTCGTGGATAAAAGAGTCTTGAAGCGTTGAACATCGAGTTTCTCACCAATGATCCTTCAATCCTTGGGATTAAGAGGGACTTCTAAGGGTTTGAAAAGTATGCACCCTATACGTTGTATATTCGCATACCGTACGCACATAAGACACCATCCATACGCACATCATAGTGATTTTTTTCTACTTAAAAAAATTTATTTAAATCGAATTTAATTGATTCGATACAATCCTTTGGTATCAAGCATGCAAAAACTCATTTTACCATCATCATAAAATTATTATAAAAAATTTCTCAATGAGACATATTATTTATGTACACCTTTGTGATACACAAGTGATGATTCTAGAGTGGGTGTTATGCTTCAATGGTTTAGCATTCATTGGAGTATATGGAGAATGAAAGTTGTTTGGAATGCTTCGTCACGTGAATAAAAGAGTCTTGAAGCGTTGAACATCGGGTTTCTCACCAAATAACCTTCAATCCTTGGGATTAAGAGGGACTTCTAAGGGTTCGCAAAGTACGCACCCTATACGTCGTATATATGCATACCGTACGTATATGAGACGCCAACCATACACACATCACAGTAATTATTTTCTACTTAAAAAAATTTATTTAATTCAAATTTGATTTATTCGATGCAATCCTTCAGTATGAATCATGCAAAAACTCATTTTATCATCGTCATAAAATTATTATTAAAATTTTCTCAATGAGACATATTATTTGTGTACACCCTTGTGATACACAAGTGATGGTTCTAGAGTGTGGGTGTTATGCTTCACTGATTTTGCATTCATTGGAGTATATGGAGAATCAAAGTTGTTTGGAATGCTTCGTCTCGTGAATAAAAGAGTCTTGAAGTATTGAACATCGTGTTTCTCACCAAAGAACCTTCAATCCTTGGGATTAAGAGGGACTTCTAAGGGTTTGAAAAGTACGCACCCTATATGCCGTATATATGCATACCGTACGCACTTGAGACGTCATACATACGCATATCACAGTAATTGTTTTCTACTTAAAAAAATTATTTAATTCGAATTTAATTGATTGAATGCAATCCTTCGGTATGAATCATGCAAAAACTCATTTTACCATCGTCATAAAATTATTATAAAAAATTTCTCAATTAGACATATTATTTGTGTACACCCTTGTGATACACAAGTGATAGTTCTAGAGTGTGGATGTTATGCTTCACTGGTTTAGCATTCATTGGAGTATATGGAGAATCAAAGTTGTTTGGAATGCTTCGTCTCGTGAATAAAGGAGTCTTGAAGCGTTGAACATCGGGTTTCTCACCAATGAACCTTCAATCCTTGGGATTAAGAGGGTCTTCAAAGAGTTTGCAAAGTACGCACCCTATACGCAATATATACGCATACCGTACGCACTTGAGACGCCATCCATACGCACATCACAGATTTATTTCTGCTTAAAAAAATTATTTAATTCGAATTTGATTGATTCGATGTAATACTTCGATATGAATCATGAAAAAACTCATTTTACCATTGTCATAAAATTATTATAAAAAATTTCTCAATAAGACATATTATTTGTGTACACCCTTGTGATACACAAGCGATGGTTCTAGAGTGTGGGTGTTATGCTTCACTGGTTTAGCATTCATTGGAGTATATGGAGAATCAAAGTTGTTTGGAATGCTTCAACTCGTGAATAAAAGAGTCTTAAAGCGTTGAACATCGGGTTTCTCACCAAAGAACCTTCAATCCTTGTGATTAAGAGGGACTTCTAAGGGTTTGCAAAGTACGCACTCTATACGCTGTATATACGCATACCGTACGCACATGAGATGCCATCCATACGCACATCACAGTAGCTATTTTCTACTTAAAAAAATTTATTTTGTTCAAATTTGATTGATTCGATGAAATCCTTCAGTATGAATCATGCAAAAACTCATTCTACCATCGTCATAAAACTATTATAAAAAATATCTCAATGAGACATATTATTTATGTCCACCCTTGTGATACACAGGTGATGGTTCTAGAGTGTGGTTGTTATGCTTCCCTGGTTTAGCATATTTCGGAGTATATGGAAAATCAAAGTTATTTGGAATGCTTCATCTCGTGAATAAAAGAGTCTTGAAGCGTTGAACATCGGGTTTCTCACCAAAGAACCTTCAATCCTTAGGATTAAGAAGGACTTCTAAGGGTTTGAAAAGTATGCACCCTATATGTCGTATATACGCATACCTTACGCACATGAGACGCCATCCATACGCACATCACAGTAATTGTTTTATACTTAAAAAAATTTATTTAATTTGAATTTGATTGATTCGATGCAATTCTTCGGTATGAATCATGCAAAAAACTCATTTTATCATCGTCATAAAATTATTGTAAAAAATTTCTCAATGAGACATATTATTTGTGTACACCCTTGTCATACACAAGTGATGGTTCTAAAGTGTGGGTGTTATGCTTCACTGGTTTAGCATTCATTGGAGTATATGGAGAATCAAAGTTGCTTGGAATGCTTTGTCTCGTGAATAAAGGAGTCTTGAAGAGTTGAACATCGGGTTTCTCACCAAAGAACCTTAAATCCTTTGGATTAAGAGGGACTTCTAAGGGTTTGCAAAGTACACACCCTTTACGCCGTATATACGCATACCGTACGCACATGAGACGCCAACCATACGCACATCACAGTAATTGTTTTCTACTTAAAAAAATTTATTTAATTCAAATTTGATTGATTCGATGCAATCCTTCGGTATGAATCATGCAAAAACTCATTTTACCATCGTCATAAAATTATTATAAAAATTTTCTCAATGAGACATAATATTTGTGTACACCCTTGTGATACACAAGTGATGGTTCTACAGTGTGGGTGTTATGCTTCACTGGTTTAGCATTCATTGGAGTATATGCAGAATCAAAGTTGTTTGGAATGCTCTGTCTCGTGAATAAAAGAGTCTTGAAGCATTGAACATCGGGTTTCTCACCAAAGAACCTTCAATCCTTGGGATTAAGAGGGACTTCTAAGGGTTTGCAAAGTACGCACCCTATACTCCGTATATATGTATACCGCACGCACATGAGACGCCATCCATGCGCACATCACAGTAATTGTTTTCTACTTAAAAAAATTATTTAATTTGAATTTGATTGATTCGATGCAATCCTTCAGTATAAA